AAAATTAAAAAAAAAAAAAAAAGAAGGAAGGAAGGAAGAAAGAAAGAACTCAATACTGCAGAATATCCAAAGGGATCAGGCTTTGGTGGCACCAGGTAACCCTGAAAATGGGGATGCAGAGTCTAAAACAGAGGAACTGGCTGGAATACCTGTGAAAGTATCAGCCTACAGATCACCGACCCCGGCCTCGAAGAGGGTAAAACAGAAGACCTGTGCTGCGCTCTACCCCAGGGATACCAACCACAGTTACTTCTCTCTAGCCCTTCCCCCCAATCGGCTCCCAGTACAATCAAATTCCCACCCTCTAGGCAGAAGAGAGGAAGAGAGACACCCTGAAATACAGACACTGGACGTTCCCCAATGAGACGGTGTAGCTAAACGGACAGTGTTCACACACAGGATGAGTCACCGAGGCTCTGCTTCCGGTACAGACCGGAAGACCAACCCTCCAGCAAGTAACCACCAGAAAATGGACAAAATACAAAACACAAAATAAAAAACCCACGAATGAAGAGAAAAACCGATCTGAGGGCACTGGAGAGTTGAGGCAAGAAGGCAGATTTTGGAGAGGAACAGAAACTTGCAGTTTTGGCCCGAGGGGAAGCCACCGTTACGGCGGCAGAGGTATAGGCAGCCAGGACGCGGATAAAAAGCCCCTGTCTTTCAGACCGGAGGCACCGGAGGCACCAGAGGCACCAGAGGCACCAGAGGCAGGAGTGTGGGGCAACTAGGACTGCCAGAGGGTGAGGGGGGATCTTAGAAAGCAGAGACACGAGGCTCTGGCGCAAGACTCTGCGGAAGCCTGGCTGACCTCTCCACTCACACACGCCGCTGACCGGACACGGACAGGAAGCGCATTCGGACTCTCAGCCAGTTACCTGCCTCCAAATAAAACTCGCCATCTTCACAGCAACCGAACAGAAGCCTGAATCTCCACAACAAAATATTGACAATGTTCAGGGGAAACCCCAAAATTACGCAACAAAACTGTGTGAAGAAACAGGAGAAATGTGACCCATTATTAAGGGGAAAGGCAATCAACAGGTGTCACATCTAAAATGTTATAATTAAAGCAGCTATTATAATTATGCTCAGTGAAGGAATGTATGTAATAAAGAAAAGACAGGCAATCACAGCAAAGGAACACAAAAGTAAGAATCACGTGGAAAGCTTAGAACTCGAACACAATCTCTAAAATATGGAAAGCACTGAATGGGCATAGTTATAAGCTCGGCGGAAATGACTGAGAAAAGAGTCAGAGTGCCAGAAGACAGATAAAACAAAAGACGAAAGAAAAAAACACACTGAGACAAATAAAAGAATAGAGCCCATGGAAAGTGGAACAATACGCGAAGGTCAAACATACAGGTGACTGGAGTCTCACAAAGAAATAGAAGAATGGGGCAAAAGGAAAAAAGAAACTGAAGGAATACTGACCCAGCACTTCAAAGTTGGATGAAAGATAAACATGTACAAATTTAAGAAGCTCAATGAAATCTGCACAGAATGAATGCCACACATCACAGTCAAACTGCTGAAAATAAAAAATTAAAATCTTAGTAAAACAATACATTACATACAGGGGAAAGAGGGACATAAATGACTGCAGATCTTGTCAGAAACCATGGGGCCAGAACACAGTGGAGTAACATTTAAAGTGTTGAAAGGAGAAAAAAGGCCAACCTAAACTTCTAACATGAAAGGGATATAAACGAACAAAAAGAAAAAAATCTGACTTGGAGAAAACAAAAACCACCTCTATAATGATTCATCTTAGAAAGGCAGACAATGCACCTATGAAACAACCAGTTGAATGCTACAAAAATTAAAAAATTAGAGAAGAAAATGTTCTAGGAAATTGAAAATATAATTACATAATGAAAACCTAGGGGCTAAAGTGGGAGGACAGAGTACGAGAAAGAATTCCACCAGAGGTGTAGCAAAACATAGTAAGATGGAAAGGAAAGAAAATCAGGTGACTGGTCCAGAAGGTCTGACATATAAATAACACGAGTTCCACAGAGAGAAAACAAAACAAGAAGTTTTAAAATGGAACATAAAATACAAATTCCCCAGAACTGAAGGAACACAGATTTCAGATGAGGAAGACCTGCTCAGTATCCGGTTCAACGGACCCCATACAAAGGACAGTGCGGTGTGTAATTCCACAGCACTGGGACAAAGAGGATAAATCAAAGCTTCTGAACAGAAAAACATGTCACATACACAGACCAGGAAGCACAAGGCCTTTGAGCTTCTAAGCAGCAACCATGGAAACTAGAAGACAGGGGACCAAACCCTCAAAACTCTGTGGGGAAATTATTTCTAACCTAGAATCCCAAACTCAGCCAAACGGTTACTCAAGAATGAGAGCAGACTGAAAACATTCCAGGGAGGGTCCACATTCACTTATCATCCACCCTTCCTCAGAAGCCCCCTGAAGCTGTCCATGGGATCCACCAAGGAGATTTCATTCAAGAGGAAAGGGAAGACACTTGTCATGTGATGAAGGCAGGGAGAGCACAGGTGGCGGCGTGTACCAGGAGGGAAGAGCACCTGGCCAGAGAGGGGCCGCCCATGCGGCCCCGAGCAGATGCAGCGAACGCGCCTGACTGTAACAAGAGGAGATTTAGCCAACCAGGGTACGTTTTGCAGCTGAAATTATACTAAGGAAATAGAAAAATAGGCAATCAAATAAAAAGATAATTTTTAGTTTCAGGGAAACTAAAAACTGTGGGAGGAAAAAACTGTCAACAGCATACTAGATGGCTGGGCTGTCACTTAGCATTTGTGAAGGTCATGTGGTGGTGATGAGGGGCAATGAGAGAAGACAAATGCTCATCGTCCATAGTGGGAACAGGTAATACCTAAAATTAAAAATCATCAAGAAATTACAACTACTAACATTTTTTAGGTATAGCTATAAATATTCAAAATAACAGCATAAAAACAGTTTAAAGTAATAGTTGTTGAGGCTGGGGAAATTGGGGCTGGGTGGGAAGGGTGCTATCAGGAAAGGCATTTTTTGAAAGTCTAACAAAATAGTTTGGCTCTTTAAAATGTGTGTGTGGGGGCGCCTGAGTGGCTCAGTTGTTAAGCGTCTGCCTTCGGCTCAGGTCATGATCCCAGGGTCCTGGGATCGAGCCCCTCATCAGGCTCCCTGCTCGGAAGGAAGCGTGCTTCCTCTCTCTCCCACTCCCCCTGCTTGTGTTCCCTCTCTCGCTGTGTCTCTCTCTGTCAAATAAATAAAATCTTAAAAAAAAAAAAATGTGCGTGTATAACTTTGCTGGAAATAAAAACTAAATTAAAAAGAGAAAATTAACAATGATATTAAGGCCAGAAGAACCCTGTTGGATGCAGCTGGGTTTGGGTTTACAAAAAAAGTGTAAAGAAAATACTTAAGAATATTTATATGAGTGTGTGGTTGAAAGATAGGGGAAGCCTTTCTAAGCCTATTAGTTTAAGCATTTAACTTTAAATTTAAGCATATATAAGCATTTAAGTTTATTGAAAGCTGTTTTAAGAGTTTTAAGAATGCGAGTTTTGACTATTACAAAACTTGAAACTTCTAAAAATAAGATAAACAAACAAAACCCATACCCATAAACAAAAAGTCAAAAACAACACACTGGGGAAGTATTTATGCTATATTCTTAAGTAAACAAATCATTCTCATAATAAAAAGGCAAAGAGCAACAGAAAATGGAGGAAGAACATGAATAAGCAGTTCATGCACACAAAACTATAAACAGCTAAAATATATGGAAAATACTCTCATTATTACTCAGAAATACAACTTAAAACAAAAGACCATAATTTTGGCTCATTGGATTAGCTAAGATTAAGTGGCAAAAACATTACTGATCAGAGTATGGGCGGGGAAGCACTGCTGAAAGGCATAAAAGTAACATCTTTCTAGAGGGTGTTTTGGAAATAAGTATCAAGTGCTTTTAAAATTGTACATAAAAATTTATCCTAAGGAAATAACTGGAAGCATTCACAATGATCCTAAAGAGATAACTACAGAGTTCCTTAAAATCCTGAAAAACTGAGAACAACCTATGAGGCAGAGTATCATCAAAATTATGGTTTAGAAAATAAGTTTAAAAAAAAATGATATATTAAATAAAAAGGTGAACTACAAAGTAGAATGTAGAAATATAAACAAATGGACAACAAAACTAAATGTTTGTATGCACAAAATGAAAAAGACAACCCCCTGAGTATGAGTGGGAGCCTGGACCCAGGGGTGGGGTTATTTATGTCTATATTTTCAAGAGAAATTTAATATTTAAATAATTTGAAAACAAAATAAGCAACAGATGAGAAGGACAAATAGGATAAAAAGGAGCTAAATAGAGACATCTGTACTTAGTAAAAGTCTGTTAATTACACTGTTACTCATTTTGGGGGGTTCTTTAAAAAACAAAAACTGCGAACTAGTAGTTGTATATATTTTGAAGAGTCAGATAACGTATTTATAAGAAGCAAGTGTTCTGGCAATGGGTTCCTAATCTAGAGTGAATTTATAAAATATGAAACTGCTTTAACTAGTTTTGATTTACTCATTATACCTTCCTCAAAGAAAAAAATAATGTAAGTCAAGAATTCTCTACCTAAAGACTTCGACTATAGGACTCCGAGAAATTTTTTTATTGTCAAATTTGATTTTGAAGAATTATTTATGTAACATTAAATGTCAGCATATCCCATAGTTGAATCTGTCACTTCTTTTAATACTCCTTCTATAAATTATGTTACAACAGCAAACAGAATTTTCAAGGATCAGAATATTTAAGACAACTGTGATTTGCTATGATTACTTTATGAAACCAAAGCTTTCCTTTAAACTTTTCAATGCTTAAACTAATAGCTTCTATGACCTTGAAAATTTTTTTACCATTGCATAAAGTCTTAAAAATCCATTTATCATCTTTGGATCATTGATGTAGCCCAGTGACTGGAAACATAAGGTCCGCTGTATAAAGTAACAAATGTAGTGCCCACACAGAATACAAACAACCCATATAACATAACACCACAGACTTTTCACCTGTGTGAGTGATGGAACTTAGGCTCAAGGAATTATAGGAGTATGAACAAGAAAACAGACTGGAATGCCATAGCTTGTTATCATAAAACCTTAGAGGGTTTGCTGAGAAAGGACATAAAGTATCCCCAATTCTTTTTTTGTGAGCTGTCAGCTTATACTCTTTTAGCAACTTGATATAGTGATGCTTTCCAGGATGTATTTCTCCATCATTATTAAGGGGAAAAAAAAAAAAAGGCAAATGCATTGTTTTCTTAACCTTCTCTAATGCTTTCGAATTCTGTTTCTTACAACTAAAGAGAATATAAACATGTAGCATTTCCTTTTTAAGCAAAGCAAGGGCTCTACATCATGGCCTGTGAAATTAACTTTAGGCAGTTAAAATTGGGCCTACTTGGTCACAGGATTTAACTCTGAATTTCAATCAACCTTTAGAAGATTACTTTTCTCCATGTTCGAATGCTTTGTTGTTGTTAAAGCATAATTTTTAGATGAATGAAAAAGGTACCCAAAAAAGACCTGCCTGCAGCATCTGATGCACAGCTCTGAGACAAGTTCTCACCTTCTCTGGATGAGATAATCTTCCAGGATATCCAGACAGCGCACCATCTGGGAGAAGATGAGTACTTTGTGACCACCTGCAATCAGCTTAGGGAGCAGTTTATCAATCAGCACCAGCTTCCCTGCTGCTTGAATCATGGCCTGCAGCTGAAAGTCGGGGGCATCAGGGCTGTGGGTTTTCCGGAAATCTTCCAGAATTTTCTCCTCTGCCCCTGGAAAGGAATGGAACAAAACTATTCCTTGAACAAACTCTGAGGGTAAAAGCTGCTCCCTGCTTTACAGATCCTAAAAAAAATGAAGTGAGCTCCTAGATCCGGACCAGCAGTCCAGTGAGGCGACACTGTGTGTGCACAGCCGGTCTGTGCCCTCAGCAGAGGACTCTGCAGCAGCAGCACGGCCACTGTGCAGAGAACGGAGGGGCTCTGCTTTGCTGGGAGACCTCACCAAGTAGAGAAAGAGCTTTAGATACCAAGCTGACTCATCAAGTAAAGAAACCTCCAGAGAAATGTGACAAAAAGACACACCTCTTGACATCATAAAAACTAGCTATTAGGAAATTCAAGCCACATTTTGATTTAAAATTTTATCAGAAAATTTTATTGTAAAAAAGCTTCTGATGTGTTCTCTGGTTAGTACAGTTAACTGTTAATTTACCTGCGGATTGCATCACGATCACTTATTCAGCTAAGTAATACAATTCCCTGTCCCGAAGGGCACAGTATGGGCCAGCCTACAGGTAAATAAAGGGTAGCAGACTGAAGAGTGCTGCCCATCTTCTGATGGCAGAGAGTTGGTAGAGAACTTAGCTCTGTGCACTCACTACTGGATGGCTTACCCAGATCCACCAACCTCTCTGAGCCTCAGTTTCATACATCATAAAAAGGTGAGCATACATACATCCTCCCATTTAATGTAACTCAATACATAGGACTGTTGGTCATCATTAGCTTCTGGCAGAGGCCACGGCAGGCTCGAGTTGCTCCCTGCTTCCCAAACTCACCATTGATCAGGTAGGGATGGTTACAGCACTTTCTCAGCTCCATCATGGTGTTGATGAGATTGGGCATGTTGTGCTGATTTGCCCCCTTGGTCAGGAAGGAAAAGTTCTTCTCCAGGATAGCACGGTAGTACTTTTTCTGGATATTGGTCAGCTCTACTTCAATGATCGTCTCTTGTTTGGGAGCAAGGTTCTTTTCCACATCATCTTTCAGCCGCCGAAGCATCATGGGTTTTAGGATAGATTGCAGTTTCTTCACCTGTCCGGGGAAATGAGACCTGTTCATCTACCCATATCTGATTTTAATGATTGATTACTGGGGTAGTCCAACCTTCACTACACTCTCCTGAGCACCTAATCACAGTACTGTGGGAGTAGACTGAATGAAAGATCATGACTAATCCCTGAACATGGGGAGTTTATAATTGGACCTCAAGGAAAAAAGGGATCTGGTTTTAATTCCCAAGCAGTCACTGAGAACCTAGGTGGCAACCTTACAAGAGATAAAGGGAGAAAGATATAAAAGACAGTACCTACTCTCTAGGACGGCAAAAACAAATCCCCCTCGCTCTATCATGCACGCATGGTGCAGCAATGACCTGAGGACAACTTCAGCTATGTGAGGAGGGACAAGTGACACATTACAAAGGGGAGACTTAGATGCTGAGAGAACAAAGTAAAAAGCAATTTGGGGGTAGGCGAAATGTGTGAAGGGGGTTCAAAAGGGGTGAAACTTTCAGTTATAAAATAAGTCCCGGGAATATAATTTAGGACATACTGACTACAGTTAAAAATACTGTATATTTGAAAAAAAAAATAATACTGTATATTTGAAAGCTGCTAAGAGAGGAGATCTTACAAGTTCTCATCACTAGAAAAAAAACTATAGCTCTGTGTGTGACAGATGTTAACTAGACTTAGTACGGTGATCGTTTTATAATATGTACTTACATTGAATCATTACCACACACACCTGAAACTAAAGTTCTATGTCAATCATATCTCAGGTTTAAAAAAAAAAAAGAAGTAGAGGCAAGAAGCGGACCCCTCCTACAGCTTCTAAGTAACGCCAGCAAACATGTTTGGAGTAGCAGCATGTAGAGTTAATGTTGTAAGATGATGTCTCCCATGCCATCATGCAGGCTGTCACATCAGGGGCACTTTGAACTGACAGTAGTCTTTGCTATGATTTGTCTGTTCTTCTCCTAACAGCCCGGACCTGGACAGCAGATCTCTACTCACCTGACTGCACTGGCAAGGTGACTTGCTCCCTCTCCCAAGAAGACAAAGACAGAAAAGGGATTCAAAATCAAGGCACCTGACCTAACCCTGAGCTATAACAGGATACCAATAAGATTAATCTTGCTGGGAACACAAAATAAGGAAGGGTAAGTGCAAAAGATCGAGTTTCAAGTCATAAAGGGCTGTTCAAAAATGTTTCAGGGCGCCTGGGTGGCTCAATCAGTGAAGTGTCTGCCTTTGGCTCAGGTCATGGTCCAGATGTCCTGGGATTGAGCCCCATGTTGAGCTCCTTGCTCAGCAGGGAGTCTGCTTCTCCCTCTCCCACTGCCCCGCCCCCCCGCTCATGCTTTCTCTCTAATAGATAAAATCTTAAAAAAAAAAAAAAAATGTTTTAAAAGGGGGTACATTCTGCATAAATAAGTTGTGTGCAGTGTCAATGCTTCCTGAAAAAAATATAAAGTGACTTACAGACAGTGATTTAGTAGAGTTATCAGAGCAGATTTTAAACAATGATGAATATGCTTCACTTTGGAAGCTGATGCGTTCTGGAATTTTATTTCCTGTGATTCAAAATATACATATTTGATGCCATTTTTGTGGTTTTCTCCTAACTAACCCCAATCCTAAATCTAACCCATTCATGGGACCTTGATTTTACCAACCATGATACTTAGGAATCTATCTCCCAAGTGGACTAGGAATGACTATATAAGATCCCAAAGAGAAAAGACACAACTAGATAATTATTAAAGATATGGACAAATGCCAATCTGCCACATGCTGGGTTCAGCTTTGCCCTTCACTTGGTTCATACCTTGAATCATTTAGTATACTACATGCCAGACACTGTGCTGGTCAATACAACAAACACAACTTTGGAGAAGAGGTGGGCCTTGTCCTCAGGGAGGTCATTGTCTAGGAAGAAGAAAAAATGCATACCACAAAATAAGTGCAACGGGAGAAGAGGACACCTTGCTAATGGTCCAAAAATGAAGAGAGGTTTGGGAGCTGGCTTTTGAAAGATCAATAGATACTGCAAACGTAGAGAAGTGGAATGAAGCTTGATTCTTCACTGCCCTGAAAGTCTGACTTGCCACAGAAGTAGAAACAAACAGACTTGAACCACAGAGTATACTCCTGACACGTTAGTGAAATTCCCAAACCTTGTCAGTCCCCCAATTCTCTGCCCCAACCCATTCTCACACCATTGCTAGGTTAATTTAGCAGAACTAATTATGTCATTCCTGCAATCAAAGCCTTGCATTGCTTCCCTAATACCTCCCAAATTCTTCAAGCCATCTTCCAAGACCTTCCCACAATATAACCCTTACCCCTCTGGCCTCATACTCCACAATTCATTAACCCGGTTCCCAGCTCAACCAGACGATTCCCTACACCTGAATAAATTCCATGGCTGATTATGCCAGGTATTTTTTCTCCTGTGCAAAGGAGTCACCATCTTTTCTCTCTCCACGACTAAAAATGTACCCACCTTGCAAAGTCCATTTCCAAATTGTTCTCTCTCCATGAAGGCTTTCCTGATTCCCAAACAGAGGTGACCTTCTCTCTTCTAAAATCCCCAATTCTATTATTTGTTCCTGTTATGGCATTTAAACTTGCCTGGCTTATTTCTGTAATTTCTAGTCAAGATTTCTACCCACCATACATACTTATTACTGTTGGCTGTTCTGAATTAGCTTTTAGTCCAATAAGCTAGACTCAGGACTAGATCTTTGAAAACCGGGAAATCTGGTTGATTTGGACAAAACTAGACTTACCAACTATTCTAGTATATGACTGTCTTCTTTTCCTCACTACCTGTGTAGTTTGTTGTACTCAAGAAGATGAGCCTGGGAACGTGTTGCAGATTATGTAGGAGGAAGGATGAAGGATGAAGAAAGCAGAGGAAGGTACCACACTCCGGAGTTCAGGACAGAACAAAATCACTGACCTCACATGTGAGATCAACGAAGGCAAGAGGCCTGATATGCTAACACAGGATTATTGTGGATACTGATTCATTTATACCTCCGGAGTAATAGGAACTCCTAATAATCAATTTACCCCCCTCAACATAGACAAACAAGTTAAATAAAGGAGGTAATGCTCATTTTAGCAAGAATATGAGAACTTGCTAATGCCTGTCCCCACAACGACTTGTTCTGTCCCTGATGGTAAAGGTAATCATCACATCGTCTCCTCAGTCCTTCAGGCCCGTTTACCTGTTCCTCTGTTTTCAGATCTCCAAATTCCTCCAAGAAAGCAGTCTCTGAAGGAAACTGTGATGGCTCCAGAAAATTCAGCAAGCTGAAGAGCTCCTCCACAGAGTTCTGCAAGGGTGTCCCAGTGAGCAGCACTTTGTGTTCCTGCACAATAGTACATGATAAGCAGTGTTGAGCCACCAAAACAGTATGCTTTTGAAGCCAGGGCATTCTGTGCTCACTTTGGGGCAACTCGGTTTTGCTTTTATGAAAAGACAGGATACTGCTGTTTCAGGGCGGGTACGGTCGATTAATAGATCAACGTTCCTTTCACATCACTGACTCCAGCGGCAATTTCACGTTAGTGCAAGCAACATCCATCCATTCATTCATTATTACTACCCTCTACGTACTGGGCACTGTGCCAAGGCTGTCATCCCTGGTACCAGATCATTCAGGGTCTTGGAAACAAGCCGAAACACCTTACATTTCCAGGTCACAAATTTCATGGTATTTAAGACTACCCTGGGTCCCCTTGGGAATCTATCTGTGGCAAAGGTCAAATTGTTGACTCAGTTTGTAACAAAAACCCTTTTGATTCCTGCACTGTCACAGATATAGATGGCAAAAAGAAAACTCAGAATAAACAGACCATGCACAAGTAAGCTACATGCAGAATGGCTACAGAATGCTTCCATAGGGGGTAGATGGAACCGGTGTCTATGTAAAGAGCTTGCTAGCTCTCACCAGGGCCATGAGCTTTAGACCCTCCAGAAGTTTGCAGTTCCTGTTCTTCAATCTGTGGGCTTCGTCAATTATCACACAGCTCCAGTGAATCTTTTTCAGCTCTGGGCAGTCTGCCAGTATCATCTCAAACGTTGTGATGACAACATGGAACTTGAAGACTCCTGAAAGGGGGTTTCCCTGAGGGTGACACAACGGAAGGTGAAGCTTTATGTCATGACTACAGAATACAGCTGATGCGTTCCCAGCAGGAGCAGAGGAGGCAGCACCGTAAGACGGTAGGGCCTAGGTAAGGGAAGCCGGTAAGCATGGTACTTCCTCGTTTGGGAAGAGAGAGAATATAAGGATGAACCAGCTATTTAGACAAGAGAGAGACCTCATTACATCGATAAACAGAAGTAAGAGACACGGGCCCTCACAATGGTGAGACATATGAGCAAATACGGAAGACACAGCAAGGAAGCTTTTTATTTATTAATTGCCATGGTAAGGAAAGCAGATGGGTACTGATTCACACGTTCCCAGCCAGGACCGGTCTCAACCACGCAGAGCCTGAACACCCAAGGAGACCGTCTTTGCTCCTTTTCAGATATGGTTGATTTCACCTTGGACCTGGGGTTCTAGCACAGAGGTTCAAAGCCCTGCTCCCGATTCACCCGGGACAAGAGCTACCGGGCAGGACACATCTTTGTCTTTTACCTATCTTAGTGGTGCCATGAAAGAGCAGAGCTGCATCATGTTGGAGCACATCTTAAAGTTCTCCCAAGTGTCTCCTTTTGCTGTTAATGAAATGCCTGGGGGAGGAGCACTGGCTTTCCTCTGGTTGGAGTCATTTAATGTTCACCTTGCTTGATTATAAAAACCAGTGGCCAGGACAAGCTTACAAGCATACTCAGTAAAGTGATTATAAGTAACAAAGCCCCCCAAGCCCCCACAGTCTATTGTGCTTTTAACAATTTAAATCCTGTCTTCCCTTTATCCTTCCCTATCAAATGTGTTAACCTCCTCTCCAAACTCCCCAGGAACCCATCCTCTGTACACTAATTCTTCCACTCACTTTTTTTACTGAGCCATGTGACAAGTCAGATAAAGCCTTCTGCATGTCAAAGCAACTTCATGGGCACCTGGGTGGCTCAGTTGGTTGAGCGACTGCCTTCGGCTCAGGTCATGATCCTGGAGTCCTGGGATCGAGTCCCGCATCGGGCTCCCTGCTCAGCGGGGGGTCTGCTTCTCCCTCTGACCCTCTTCCCTCTCGTGTTCCCTCTCTCGCTGTGTCTCTCTCAAAAAAAAAAAAAGAAGGCTTTAAAAAAAAAAAAAGCAACTTCATAAGCCAACCAAGAAGCCAAGCTTTCAGTATCCTACAAAGGATAGAGCCTCTGGCATATTGCAGAGAGTGGAAAACATGCCCTACAAATCCTATGTTTTATCACAAACTAAACTACCAAGAAGAAGCAAGAAGTCTGCCTCAAGAAACAGAAGACTCTACAAAATCAGTCAACGGTAACCCAAGGTGCAGGGCCTTCAAACTCCTGAGGGCAAGTGACAGAAAGGCTGTTCTGAGCGATGACATCAGGCCGTCACCAGATCTCTGAGACTGTGCAAGGCCCACCTGTGCGTCTCTGTACACCATCTCATACTGCTGGATCATCTGCCTGCTGATCTGGCTGCCATGGTACACAATGGCATTCATCTCTGTCCACGTCCGGAACTCCCGCTCCCAGTTCGTGATGGTGGAGAGTGGGGCGATGATGAGGAATGGGCCGTGGATTCCCCGGAGGAATATCTCAGAGAGAAATGTGATGGACTGGATGGTTTTCCCGAGGCCCATCTCATCAGCCAAAATACAGTTTTTTCTGCAGAGAGTAAGAAATACAGATAATTCATCATCGATACAGGAAAGTGGTAGAGGTTGGGTATAACTCAAAAGATACTTCGGAAGCACACCTTGACCTGTAAGGTCATCAGTGAAGGGCCTTATTGGCATTTTCCAGAGATGCAACTGAGGCACGTTTTGATTCTTATGATTCACACCCTGCCTACTTCTGAAAAGGAATTACGGCAACTTGAGAGAAAATACAGGAAAGAGGTCCATACGCTATAAACTGAAAATACTAAAAATTAAAATAACAGTGAGACACAAGGAGAAAAAAAAATATGCCTCAAACCTAAGCCAATTTCTGTACCTGACAAACTTTATGGAAGCCAAGGCAAAAATAAAAAGATAAGTTACATGGTTTTCACTGTCCATTATTTGTGTCATCGAGGGTGAACTTTTAACCCACACAATTAATTTCTTATCAGAGTAAAAATGTTGGTCTGTCCTGGTGATCCAGAATCCCAGACTGCACAGAGCAGTCTCGCTCCTTGCTGCACAGGTGGGCACTGGAAAGCTTAGGGGAGCTTTCTGGCCCAAGCGGCTCTGTAAGTGGCACAGACTATGCCAGGACATAGGTCACCAGGGCCCCATATTGTGTGTTCTCCACTACAGCCTGCTGTCTCTAGAATCCATACTAGGGGTATACTCTAGAATGTTAGAAAAATCTCAAATTTCACCTGTTTCATCTAGATTCTGATGGCAAATGAAGCACGAAGAGTCCAAAACCGAGTGGTACAGCCCCAGCCTAGAATATCCAGGGCTCACAAATAAGTAGCGGAGTTGGGGCTACAATCCAGATGTTTCCTTTTAGAGCCAATTTTTGCTAAAGACTTAGAACGATCTTTTGGATTTTGTTTCATCTAGGTTGGGCCTAACCTTTTGGCTAGAATGGCAAAGAAAAAAGAAGCATAAAGTCAACAATGTCTAAAATCATTCCTTGTGGGGGCGCCTGGGTGGCTCAGTCATTAAGCGTCTGCCTTCGGCTTGGGTCATGATCCCAGGGTCCTGGGATCGAG